TGAATGCTACCGAGGCATTGGTGAGTCCAAACGGCATTACCAGGAACTTATAGTGAACGTATTTTGTCTTGAATGCCATCTTTGTTATATCTACTTCTTGACCTTTAACTGATAATATTTAGATCTCAAGTCGATCTTGGAGAAGATGCATGTGCCCTTGAGCTGGTCAAAAAGGTCATCGATTCTAGGTAAGGGATAACGGTTCTTGATAGTCAACTTGTTCAACTGTTGGTAATCGATGCACCACCGCATTGACCCATATTTCTTCTTAATGAAGAGAATCGATGCTCCCCACGGTGAGATACTTGGACGGATAAAAGCTTTCTCTAGCAACTCCTAGATTTGAACTTTCAGCTCTTTTAGTTTCATCGGTGCCTTGTGATAAGGAGCAATGAACACCAAAGCGGATCTTGGCATTACCTCAATGTCAAACTCTAACTCTCGATCCGGTGGTAAACCTAATAACTCATCCAAAAAAATGTCAAAAAAGTCTCTAACAGTTCGGATGCCCTCAATCCACAGAACTGCTACTCTGGTATCGATTACATGAGCCAAGAAGGCTTCATAACCCCAATTCAACATCCTTTAAGCTTTAAGAGCCGACACAATCCTTGCGTACTTGGGTTTTTCTCCAAACATCACAATCTACGTCTTATCCTCTTTCCTGAGTTTAAGCTGTCGAAGCTTGCACCTCAACCTTACATCATGCTCTGACAACCAGTCCACGCCCAAAATTAGATCAAACTCTCTGAAAGGTAGCTCCATAAGGTCGCGGGGAAGGTTTCACCTTGAATTTCAATAAGGCATCTACGATAGACCTTATCCACTAGGACATCTAATCCTAAAGGGCTAGATACTCTGAACCCTATCTTAAGTTTCTCGAATGGGATACTCTGATCCTGAGCTAGATCATAACAGATATAGGAATGGCTAGATCTTGGAGTGATTAACGCAACAACTGGAAGAGAAAAACACTATTAAAGTACCTGACATAACATATGATGCATCGTAATCCTCGAGCAAGATCTCTAGGCTCTACATTGTCCCCTGATTAGCCCGCACCTCTATCAGTCTGACTAAATGATGAGCTACTACCCCTATTAGATCCTCTACCCCTATGAAATATAGGAGTTGACCTCTGCATCGCAGCTAGTATCGTATCTCGAGCCTCTTGGTACTCTCTGATAAAATGGTCTAAAGAACCATATCTAAAATAATCTTTGGACCCTTGACGGTATACCCCTGCATGCTTTCAGTCTTAAACTAAGCAAACAGGCTGAGACTGTACCCTCGACGAACCTCTAGAGCTTGCTACTAAGGTAGTGACCAACGATCTCCTATGATGATCAGACCTACCACCTTATCTTCTTGCCTAATAGGCTGGTCTGCTAGACTAGACCGGTGAGGCTCTCCAAGAACCACGAGAGTCTCGTACTCTTTTCAATGACTATGATAGTCCAGATGACTCTACAACTCCCATAACCTACCTAACTGGGAGTAGAACTCGCAACTGTAGCTCCTCTCCCCAGCACCCTCTCCAAGGCCTTGGCTTGGCAGACCAACTCAATAAAAACTCTGGGAGGATTGGCAGATACATGGGTAAGGATATCATGGAGGTGGCCCTCCTTGAACCTCTTATAGTGAAAATGCTCCGACCATACTAACTCTGGTGCATACCGACTGAGTCGAATGAACTCTACCTCATACTCAAATACAAAGTGGTCTCTATACTTTAACTGTAAAAACTGATCCCTCGTCTCATCCATGTGAGCCTCACCTACATACTTCTAACGAAACTCATCCAAAAACTAATCCTATATAGGTCACTTTGGCTCCATAAACATCTCGACTATATCCCACCAGTCAATTGCGTCACTCTTCAACAATGAGGTAACACACTCTAGCATACCCTCGGAAGTAAGGTATAGCTGACGAAGGGTCCTCTGAGTCTCCCTTATCCACTGATCAGCCGCTACTAGGTTGTCATCTCCTGAACTGAAAAAGTATTTGGTCTGATACCTCCGGAGCCTCTCAACAATGGACTCTTGTGAAGCTACGACAGGTGGGGCTGGCGGGGATGTCTGACTAGGTAGGGCTACTGGAGTCCTGGGTAAGGCTCTAGCTATGTTCCTCAGGTAGCTGTCATCTCCCTAAATAAAGTTGCCTCCTCAACTACAACATCTTTGGGCTCCTCAAAACCTATCTCAGGAATAAAATCATCACCGATATCGCCCACGAGGGAAGCTGTACTCTCGTATCTACCCTTTTGACTATGACATGGGCTCTCATCCATATCTAACTCTGAAAATGTAACAATACGAGGAGTTACTATTACTATTTCAAAAGAAGAAGTACTTTTTACATCTCTAAAGGCATGTATACTCATAAACTTTTACTGACTCTGACTTACATGTCCTAGGAACGTCTAAACCTGACACTCTGATACAACTAAATATAACACCCTAAACCAGTACGACACACAATCAACCGGTCAAAATACCACGCGGAACCATTGGAGTGGCTAACCAAAATTTTCTTTTGAGTTTTTCCATTTTTAAAAATGACCATTTGTAATCACTCATGCTAAGATAAATCAACTACAATTTAAATAAAATAGTTTACATTAGGAGCTCCTAAAATAATATTTAAATCATATATACCATAGTCTAAAATGAGTTACGACTTATAAAAATAAACAAACTGGGGTTTACAATTATACATGCCCTCTAAAGATGAACTCACGAAGTACTCTGCACTATTTGGGTATGGATCACTGCTGTCAAAAAGTCCTCAAACTGCTCCTCGACTAACTTGTGTAACGAAACAAATTCCAAACGCTGACCTAACTAGCCCAGTGTGACACTAACAACTAAGTCATACTAAAAGTGTTCGTGACATGCTCCAACTAACTGATAAACTAAAATTGTGAGTATACTCGTATACTGTACTCTCTACTCTATGGTAGACATGATGGTGCGGCTGAGGGTTCTGCATCTCGGAAATCACACACCCCTCTAGTCTTCCGAGGTTGGTTGCTCGGAATCTATACATCAGTTAACCCCCTCGACTAGCCCAATCCTTGAGTGTTGGACCTTGCGCCCAAGCTAGTTAGCTTTAAGAGCCTTGCGCACTACGTAAGTATATATCTGGACTGAAACTATACTTTTGATAATGCTAGCATTTTCTTAAGGAACTCGAGTGTCCTGATCGCTTTCTAAACATCATCCAAGGTTATTTTTATGTCATCCTAATTGAATCTTGTTTCTAAGTGTAATTAATATCATTAATATTCTCAATTATAGTCTTATTTGATGATATAATGAAGTGTTGGGGTACATCGAGTCTAATTCCCTTAAAAATTGATAATTTTACCAAAATAGACTGAAAGTATTGATACTAGCCCAAGAGTATCGATACTTCTGCAATGGTTTCGATACTTTATATAAGTATTGATACTTTTAAACATTTTGTTCTGCCCAGTTTCGAAACTCTATAATAGTTTCGAAACTATGACCTAAAGTTTCGATACTCTTGAAAGAATATCGATACTCTTGCCTAGAAACTCAAGAATTTGCCTAAAATGAAGAACAAGTATCGATACTCTACCTGCAGAAGTCATAAAACACATACTAAAATGTTATAATCTCAATCCCAAAGCCCCTAGTGAGGTCCCCAAACATGCTTAAAGTTTTATTTGATCAACAAGGGTCATAATAGAGGTTTTAAACACATTTATAACTCTAACACAAGAATTTCACCATGGAAATGTTTATCATGCTCAACACAACCATTTAAACTATTTTAAACTTGTAATGACTCACTAAGAGTATAGAAGAGTTGTACAGGTGTTACCTTTCTTACTTGGTGGCTAGAACTATCCTTAACTCAACCAATGCTCAACTTTTCTTTGCCTTTTGATTTGGAACTCTCTCCCACTTTCTTCACTAAACAAGGGAAGAAAATGTTGGATACATTCTAAATAACTCCTTAATAATCAAAACATAGCTAGAATCCATATATTCTCACAACCCTCTCCAAACCCATTTTTGGTTCTATGCATAAAAACTAATGAAATTGAGCTTATATTGAAGCTTGAAGAATAAGGAGTTGAAATCTTACCTTGGCTTCACTCAAATAAGCTTGATTTTCTCTAAATTCTTCACTTTAAGAAAGAATGAAGAAGAGAGAAATATGAGAAAATAGGAAGAGTGTTTTGTGACTTGTGTAAGGGGTTTTGTTTCACATTGAAAACATAAAATATGGAGGGATTTTCAGCTTCCAAAATGACTATGGGTAAACTACACTTTTAGTCCCTTTACTCTTATTTCATAATTTACACATCCCCTAACAACAACTCTCTTGGGACCTAACTGAAGTCCACAAACAATAACTTGATCCAACTATAATATAAGGTCCAATGGCTCAATTGGGCTTGGGGTTGACCTGAACTACTAACCCAGGATTCGGGGTGTTACATTGAGTATTTGGAATTGTATAGTTGTTATTGAATCTTTTGAATTGTATAGCTTTTATTGAGTCGTTGACCAAGTTTGGTGAAAATAAGTCGACCAAAACCAAGTCTTCCAAGCCCTGAGACAATGAAAATAGAGAGGGAGACGATGAGAAGCAGTTGGATGACGGTGAAGGAAAATCTTCGAGTGGGAACAGGAAGCTATCAACTGGTAATAGTCTTGGGAATTCGTCGAATGGGAATGACAAGGTTAAGTCCAACCAATTGGAAAAAAAGAAAGAGAGCAAGCATTGAAGTTATATTTTTGTGATGAGGGATATAATTTGCTTTTACTAATTCCTTAATTACATCATAGGCCAATGTACAATGTATTTGGATATAATTTTAATTACATATGTTTCTTTGATTTCAAAGTAAGTTTTTTAAGAAACAAAATAAATTCATATTAAAAGACAACAAATAATAAATCACAAACCAGAAGTAGCTGCCATATGGCCCACAAAATTAATTTTGGATAGAAAAAAAAAGAGAAAAAGGCCATTTTAGTAGTATACAACTTGCTAACCTACCAACACATTAAACAAATTTCCACTTTAATACTCCACCACCATCATCAGCTCAAGTTGCAGCAAATAGCAATCCACACACAAACATCTCCATTGGTGTTTACAAATTCATGTAAATCAAACTTAAAAGAATTTAAACTTCAAAATCTTTCTAGAGGTTAAATAAATTGTTGAAAAGGTCTATGGATGGAGTAGTAGGAGATGGTATTAAATAGTTTGGTGGAATATTAAAGCTTGAAGGACTGTGCATGAACCTACTCAAATCATCGAAGAAACTGATGGAGTTTGGATCAGACGGCGGTGAGAAGAAGATGGGTGATATTGGATGCAGTGAACTTGGCTCTGGAGATAGTATTCCTGGAAACAGATTTGCTCTTTCCACTCCAGGATTCATCTCTATCTCCATGCCTTGAACAAGCTCTAAGTTTTCTTCGTTAATTTGTTGCTTTCTTTTTCCTTCTGGGGATTTTGTCTTCTCTATTGCGGCGAGTCTTGCTGCTGGAGAGATTGCAGTGCCGGTTTGATCATCGGATAATGATGTGGTGCCCGTAAGGCGTTGAACTAGGTTCATGAACCCGCTAGGGCTTGTGTGGATCACTTTTGGTGACACGGTGTAGATGATCACCGGAGGTCGTATTTGTTGTTGCTGCGATGGTTGCGGTGCCAATGGCGGTTTCTTGATCTTGTGCGAATCTTTACGGACCTTCAAAGGCGTTGGGCGAGGGCCCTGAAGTTCTTTCCTAAGTAATCCACTCTTGGATAAATCTGAATCCGAATAATTCATGTTAAATTTTAAATGAAATTAAGAGAATAAAGATAGTACCGATGATGAAGAATAAGAGGAAGACAAGAGGTATATAAAGAGAGCAAGTCAATGAATATTAAAAGAGAAAAATTTAATGGAAAAGAAAACGAGTAAACTTTGGCTACTTATAAAGCTAGGGGGAAATGGACGTACGTTTGAAGTTGTCTCGTTGCCAAGTCAGGGAGAGGCGGAGAGCAGTGATGATGCGGCTTGTACATGTAAGTTTATTGATTAATTATGGATATATTTAATATTATATTTATTTAATATTGGTCAATATTTGTTATTTATAATTATTTAATAGGTTGATAATAAAGATTTTTTTAGTTTTAAGAGTGGTTTGTTGTTATATATTTTAAATCGATATTTAAATAAATTAAATACATGAAAATGGATTAGAAGTGTTTATGAAATTTTGAAACTCTAATACCAAATTATATAAAAGAAATAAATATTGAAACTATGCATATCTTTGAGCAATTGTATAATATGATATATAAATTTTGATTTGGTTCAATTATGAACATAAAATTTGGATCGTGATTTAATTATCCACATGAAACTTTGATTACAATTTAATTATGCACACTTAAAAATAAATATTTTTATTTGTATATTAAATAAATTTAATTATTTGTTTATGCAATATATAACTAAAATGATATTATACTAATAAAAATTTTAATGATAAAAATGAAATCAAATTAAAATTATATATATATACTTAACTAAAATTTATATTTTTTATTTTTATTTAAAATTTATGAATAATTTTAATATTTGACACTAAAAAATGAATAATTCTTTTATTCTTCATGGACAGAAAATGAATGAGTATGGGGAAGCCGACGCTGACAATCTACCATATTTATTTCAAACTTTTAATTTGAATATTTCATACGAAACTTGTTCCAAGAAAATAATTAATACTAGTTTTTTTAGTTAATTTTTCTTATAAAAATTAATTTTGTTTTGTTTTTAACATGTTCTTGGAAGGTTATTGCATCCTGTGTATATCTCAGTCAAAGTTTGCATCCAAACCTATTTTAGAAATAACAATTGGGCATGAAATAAACATATCACTAATGTAATAATAGCATTTATTTTTGTACAAGTTGTGTTAAACTATACTGATCTCGTAAATCTTATGTTAAAGAGGGTATGAGTTCGAATATAATTAAACTTATGTTTTCTTAATACTAAAATTACATTCTAACCCATCAAGCAGTCTCAGTAATTAAAGAAAATGTTATTCTCCTGGACTATTCAAAAAACGTTTTGTTAATTTTCAGTCCCTGTTTACTGATTGTTCCGAGATGTTTCAGTCTAGAATGTAACTTATAAAAGGATAAGAATGATGAAATGAAGTGTGTTTTATTCCTCTTATACTTAAGTGTATGTTGATTTTGCTCTTTGACATTTTCTTGTGTTTTTATTTTCTCTATGGATCCAAAATAAACATTTGGTATCTCAGCAAGGTAGCAAGTGATGGTCACAAACAACCTTGGAGATAATTCTTTGCAAAGATACTTTCAAATCAATTTGGGGGTCCATGAAAAAGAACATCAAGGGAATGTGAAGTCAAAGCGAGTGTCAAAAAATTCGATTAGAATTAAGATTTTATATAAAGTTAGATGATTTGGTTGTAGAATTCTCCGTAAGAACGATGTCACACTCCGAATAAGAGGTTACAAATTTCTTTGAATTTCAGAGACCTAATTGATATTAAAACTAAATTTTAGGGAATAAACTGAATAAATATGAAATTCTACGGTTTAATTGGAAGGTTTTGGGGATTTTTGGACTAATATGAATGCGAGTGAAATATTTGGGCATACTTTGTAAACCCTAAGAAAATGCAAGTGTTTATCTTTTCCTTATTTTTCATTTGGCTTAATACAAAATAAATGCCTAAACTATATTTAAAATTGACTTTTGGACAAGAATCGTGCGACCTCGGTGATACAAGAATTATTGTTATTCCTTAAGGTTTCAGGTTCGAGCACTAAGAATGTCAGGGATGTGAGCGTTCAATAACAAATGGTTGAGAATTATCTTTAAACAGATATTGTCTTGTACTTATTTTAAATTAATTAAAAAATAACTTTTGGTTCCTAAAGGAATTTTTGCTAAAAATGGATGGTTAACGTTTTCTCTATCATAGATAACTACCATTAAAAAAAAGTTAAGTTACATATGTCAACTTTATATTTTTCTGAAATTTTTATTTTTTTTCTTTAAAAATTAGAAATATTTTTTTTAAATTAAAAATTATTTCTTACAAATGTAAGACTGATATGAACGGAATTGATTATCGTGGTCAACTTGGACTGTTTGGGCCGATTATTAGGACAACTTAGCACGCTAATGTCTGGTCCTATCATCATTCGTTAATGTATCTGCAAGAGTGGTCCAATAAACTCTCCATAGGACATAACTAGAGCGTTCATATCAACCAATAAACTCAACATTCCACTAATCATGCGTAAACCGTTCGTATAATATTTATTTATTAAGTTAAATAAATAAATAAAAATATAATTTTTATGTTCATTTAATAAACGAATAAGTATTCGATTTGTTTATGTTCACGAACAAACTCTTTTACTTGGTTCTCTTTTTCTTTTTCTTTTTTTTATATTTTAAATATGAGTAAAGATATATACTAAATTAAAAAAATGAATTTTGAAGTTCAAACTGTGTAGTCTAAATAACTCAAGGATAAATGGTATAGTTTTATCATTTTTCATTGACTTGCAAATAAAAGTATAAAAAGATATTGTTGATTGTCAAACATTAAACAGATATGTTCGCAAACGCTAAACAAATAAATGCCAACACTTTAAAAAAAATACATAAATGAACATGAGCATGATATTGGAAATTTAAAGGAACATTAACTAAACATAAATACCTTTGGAAATAAACAAACAAACTTGTATATTATAGATTTGAATTTTTTAAACAATGTTATAGATTTGATTGATAAATCTAATATTCATTTAAACATTATGAATATATCTAATAATTTTATCATTTAACTCAAATTCAAATATTAATGTAAATATGATGTTTCAATATAATTATTATTAAGAACATTTTTAATGAAAAATGTAATTATATATTTTGTTTTAAAATAATCATAAGTGTTATACTCCATTTCATCTCTTAGAAGAAACTCTTAACCATTGATGTAGTGACAGCATAACCTAATATCAGTTTGTTGTTAACTAAAGTTTAAAAGTTGACGATCATTGTTTGCTTGTATACAGTACCGGGGCTAGAACGTTGGAGGCCCTGTGCAAATTCTTAAAAATAGTGTGGTTGTTGGAAAATTGAGATTAACGGAACTAATTAATTAAAGAAAGGTAAGGAATTTATGACTATAGTGGGAATGAGAATTAACGAGAGAAGATGAATAATTGAAGTTTGGTAAAGTGAATTGAAGAAGATGAGCTCCTTTCTCGAAAAGTGGAGTTAGATCCAAAAAAATTGAGGTAAGTTTTACAGCTGTAGCACAATATTAATTATTGGTATTTCATATATGACTTCAACAAGATTCGATCTAAGGTTTTGTGGTTTTAAGCCCAAAAATTTTATCACTGATCCATAATACTTTGTTTGTTTTTTTAATTGTAACAATAATAATAAATCTAATTTTTTGAGGTCTTTGCTATTCCGGAGCCCTGTTCCGTCGCGCACATTTCGCTGTGCTAGCCCCGCCCCTACTTGTATATACTAGAAGAATACAACTGTATAAAAATACATTTTTTTGGAACATTTCTTTTTATTATAAGAAGCAGAGACGTGTTGAGCAAAATCAAACAAATGTTGTCAACATGTTATCACCTCTTTTAATTAGTTTATTTTATTTTTTTTACATCTTTGATACATATCGGAATACTTACTCCTGTCTAATCATTTGCTTATATATAAATTTAACTTTACGACATTTCAATTAAAAAAACTATACGACATTAAATAATAATAACAATAATATTATAATTAAAAATAAACTAGAGGTGAATTCATAGGTAGCTTAACTAATAAAAAATGTTATTTTTTCTTTTTCATTTTTTTTATTTAAGTAATTATGTATATAGAATATGTATGTGTTATCAATAAATTAAAAAATTCTAATCAAATACAACCAGGTTAAGCAAGGAGATGATTGAAGCAACATTTGGTTACCCCCACAGGATCCATGGATAAAAGTTAATTCGGATGGTGCTCGGCAATCCTCAACGGGTCTAGCAACTTGTGGAGGGGTGTTACGGAATCAAAATGGAGAATGGATCGTGGGATTTGCGAAGCGCATTGGCATTTACTCGGCTTTTTCGGCTGAAATTTGGGGAATCTATGTCGGTCTTTCACTGGCGTGGGAGCAGGGATATCGACGGGTTGTTGTCGAAACTGATTGTAAGGAAGCTTTGGGTATTTTGGAAGGGAAGATGGAGAATGCAGGATCCTCCTCTCTTATACTGCATCTGCGTGATTTGATTAGTCGTGATTGGCGCCTCCAGTTCCGTTTTGTTCCAAGAGAAAGTAACAGGGTGGCTGATGGATTAGTGAACATGGCTTGGGGAGACCCTCAGTGGAACCAACTATTTCATCAGGTACAGCAGGAAGTCCACGATATGGTGGATGCTGATGTACTAGGAAGCTGCTGATATGTAATGGTTTTGTTAACTCCTTTTTTTCAAATATATATATAATCAAATACTATTTTGTAAGAATCTTAAACTATTAAAGAAACTATTGGTTTCGTAAACCTGATTAATCTATTGCCTTGAAAGAACCTTATTGCTTCCACACTTGGAACTTTGTGATTGGAAAGTTGGAATGCGTCATTTACGTAATTAATTTTTATAAAAACTAAACCCTAGCTGTTGGAAAAGCTATTATGCATGCCTTTTCATTAAAATCTGGGATCCCTTCCTTGTTGTAAATTAATGTTATTTGATGTAGAAAGGAATCAATTGTATGATATATAAGCGTTGTAAATAGATTAAAAAGATTCTGATATATTACTTTATAATCACCCCAATTATTGAAAGAAAAAAATATATAGGAACCTTACAGATAATTAATCTTAGAAATTAAGATTCCTCGCACTTCT